CTTAAAAAAATATTTTTGCCAAACTCTCAACAGTGCAGCCCTTATTATATGATTTCTAAAAGTTTTATCAATCTTTTTTTGCATAAAAAGATAAGCATGCCACCCAAAGTACAAGTCCCATCCTTCCAAATTCAAGATTCTCTTATTAGATAAATTAATCCAGTCAGTCATCCAAGTCAATGCACAAGAATCATAGTAATCAATTACTATGATGATTGTTGTATGTTGTTTTATAAGGCTGTTAGCCGCCCTGAGTCCGGTGTGGAGAAGGGCGGGATATAAATCAAATTATAAATAAATAAAATAAATAAAATAAATGACATACAAGTTTATGAATCAGTCAATGAATAAAAAAAAATAAAGTGAATTAAAGATACTGTATTTTCTTATAGTGTATAATCATACAATCATTTTTATTTTCTTAATTTGGTGCAAGCTGTTGTACAATCTAATAGACTAATTGGAGGAATAGGATTTTGTTACACACAGAATCATATAATAATGATGATTTGCTTGATTTGTGTAATGATGGCATTTCCTAAATGCCACAAATTATGTTATTATTTGCATCAATTTATAACATCTATGTAATGATGTAATTACATAAATGAATTGGGACAAGAATTACATACAAAGTTCCATGCATCCAATTTAACTAAACCAAGATTTCACTGTAGTGATAAAAAGGGTACGTGTAAAAACATAAGCTTAATTTTTGACACAGTCAATAGTTAGTTTGCATTTATCCTTTATATGCAGGAATCAGATGGTTTTAGATGAATATTTCCTGCTTTTCCTTATCTTCCCATTTTATACACCTTTCAGTGCAGTGCTGGTATTAGATACTGTTGTTAAGGAATGGATGTTGTGGCTTTATTCACTCAGTCTGTTTCCTGAGTGATTACATCAGAGTTAAGATTTCATTATTGATTATACTAATGAGGTAGCAGTGACTTCTGGATCCAGAGAAGCTGGAATTCAAAGCAGGAAACAAGCTGCGAGCTATTAACATGAAGTAATGGGGTAAACATGCCGGGAGCAACAAATTTGATGGGAAATTTTTTTTCTTAAGTTGCTCTAGCACTTCAAATCCATTCTTTTGGGTAGTACAGTATATATGACTTGTATTTTTCAGTTTCTACTGAATAAATTATTTAATTTAGTAAAACATGTCAGTATTTAGCTTACATAGATTTGAACACTTGTTTATAACAGTGGCTGTTTACTCTTTAACATATTTTTTGTGTGATTCCATTGACCACGGTACTTATTGATATTTAAGCATTGACATCGATGGTCCAGTTTCATGGAATATATGAATGCAGAATTTATTTTTTGTTATGTTATGCAGTTCTTCATGTTTCATGCTTTATATAGTGGGTTAATGTTTAAAATATATATTTATGCTAATAGGAAAGCACTGTATTCAGAAATAGAACATAAATCATTTTTAACTTTTTAAAATGATTGTTTTGGCAGCTACAAAGGCTGATGGGTTTGCACTGTATTTCCTGGGAGAATGCAATAATGTAAGTATAAATTTGGAAAACTGTAATTTATAGAAATAATCACCTTTCCAGGGTGTTTTGTGTAATATATTGCACAAAGTTTCACAGAGGATAACCATTCTAGGCCAGTTAGTTTCTTAAATGTAGTTGGTGAATTAAACTATTGAAACAGTTTTCTTCTTTGTATACTTTTCAACCATCCTCTGCAATAATTTCTTTTTAAAATTCACCAAATTATCAGATTAAATCAATCAGTATCGTGGGTGCACCTTGTTGGAAATTTACTTCTAGCCCTGGATCTAAAAGCAGTGTACTGTATACGAGGGCAATTCGGAAATAAACCTCCATTTGGTAATCAATGACAGACACTCACAGATATAGAACTTTTATTATACACATTAGAAAACTACAACATTACATTACTTTTCAACATAATCGCCATTCAAATTGAGGCACTTGACATAACATCTTACAAGGTTTGAAATTCCTTAGTAGTAGTCAGTCGGCACCAAATCTGGGCTATGGGGAGGTGATCAAAAACATCCGAACGGAACTGCTTCAAAAGTTCTTGGGTGCGTCTAGTGGTGTGCAGGCGAGCATTATCATGAACCAACACCACACCGGAATTGGTGCCATAGAAAATCCCACCAAATGTGAAGATACCAAAGGAGTTCTGCTAGTGAAGTTCATGGAGTGTGATTCAACTATCAATTCAGAAGTCTACTGTGAAATGTTATGAAAACTCAGATGAGCCATCCATAACAAGTTTCGGGGCATGCTAACTTCTAGTGTGGTTAATATCTCAGGGGCTGCCACAAAGAAGAGGAAGTCAAGCTATTCTCCAAGGCGCCTGAAGGCAGGACAAGAAGCAACGGATGGAAACTGATCAAGGAGAGAAGCAACCTACAACTAAGGAGAAACTTCCTGACAGTTAGAACAATTAACCAATGGAACAACCTGCCTCCAGAAGCGGTGAATGCTCCAACACTGGAAGTTTTTAAGAAGAGACTGGATAGCCATTTGTCCGAAATGGTATAGGGTTTCCTGCCTGAGCAGGGGGTTGGACTTGATGACCTCCAAGGTCCCTTCCAACTTTATTATTATTATTATTAATGCTTGCCTGAATACTGCTAGACACAGCCAAGAACTTTTGGAGCAGTTCCATTGGGATATTTGTGACCCCCCTTCCCATAGCCCAGATTTGCACCGAGCAACTACTACTAAGGAATTTCAAACCTTATAAGACGTTATGATAAGTGCCTCAATTTGAATGGTGATTATGTCAAAAAGTAATGTAATGTTGTAGTTTTCTAATATGTATAATAAACGTTCTGTATCTGCAAGTGTCTATCATTGATAACCAAACAGAGGTTTATTTCCGAATTGCCCTTGTACATTGTAAGCACTGAGATACAGTACTGATAGGTTATAATTTATAGACAAGCAAATACTGCAGCCTCTTTTAGCTCTTCCATTATGCAAGATTTGGGCTAAATCACTCCCTGCTCAATGAAGAATCCAACTAAGGTATCTCCATCTCATGGGGGTTTTTTTTAGCTTCTGCAGGAAGATATCTCGAGAAGGAGATTCTCTGTTTGACTGAGTAATTGGCTTCATTGTCAAACTGTTGTTGCTATTCTGAAATTGTATTTAATATTTACTTGGAATCTGCCTTCCTGTAAATTTAATTCTTCAAAGAAAGACAGATCCCTTCTCTATTGATCCAGTGTAGAGGACAGAGAATTTGACTCTCTGTCCTCTACACTGGATCAGTAGAGAAGGGATCTGTCCTTCTTTGAATGGCAATCTTTTAGTTTTTTAATTTATTGATACAAAAATGGGTATATTGCATATTACATTGTCAAACCAGAAACATATAGTCAACAAAAATAGAAATATTTACCATATGGAAGCCCTATCACCATTAGGACCACCATAGCACTCAGATACCCCAGACATCTTAAAACCTCCTTAAAAGTGATGAGGTATCCCAAGAAATAAGACAAAGTACAGGGGCAGCCCCCAAGAAGGATCACTGTGAGGCCCTTAATCCTTTAATTCACATAAGGTGGGGAAACTTAGCAGGAATGGATAATTGCATCATACAGCACAACTCCTAGAATGCAGCATTGCAGGCTAATTCTGCAGACTGCCAACTGCCAGCAGTTCAGCAGTTTGAGTCTCATCGGTTCAAGGTTGACTCAGCCTTCCATCCTTCCAAGGTCAGTAAAAAGAGGACCTAGATTATTGGCGGGCAATATGCTGACTCTGTAACCCAATTAGAGAGGTCTGTAAAGCACAGTGAAGCTGTATATAAGTTTAAGTGCTATTGCTATTGCTATATTACCAGTATACAAGCTTAATATTAAGCTGGTATGAAGTTTCATTCATGATACCACACACTATTAAACTATTAGGCCAGGCTCATATGTATTTCACTCATCTTAGACATACAATCCACATCTTTTTGAGAAAGAGAGATGCATTCACTGGGTCATATATAGAGTCAGCTTTTCCACAAGCCCTTTCTTTTTGCTGGAAATAGAGAAGTTCTGACCCTTTTAGAAAAATAACAGAAGTTGTGCACCAAAATTAGGGAAAGGAGAGAATGATTATTCTCTCAAAGGCCAGGAGGACCTGAATGTTAAAGTCACGTGGATCTATGCCAGTGATGGCGAACATTTTAGAGACTGAGTGCCCAAAAACTGTCCCTCCACCCCCGTCCCCGCTCTTCCCTGCCCACTGGGCCACCCACCACCTCCATGGCCCGCCACCGATCACCCAGGCAGTGCTATGGTGGCTATGCCCTCTGCCCGTGCCCTGCAGCATCATCTGCGTGCAACAGGGCGCAAGGGCGGAGTCTTGTCCCCGCTGCCCAGATACCATGTCCTTGGCTATGCTGCTTCGTGTGGGCCGCGCCCAGGGGCAACTCTCTTCTGGGGGGGCTGCTGGTGAGGGGGCCGTGGAAGGAGGTGGGGCTGGGGAGATGGTGCGTGTGCCCACAGAGAGGGCTCCGAGTGCCACCTCTGGCACCCGTGCCATAGGTTCGCCACCTCTGATCTATGCTATATAACCAGCAGGTTGCATTATATATTTCTCCCCAATTTTTGTAGAGAATCTAGCTTTGACTTTGAGAAGTAAGTAGGAGAGTATCTCTCACATACATCAGACTCAAGGAGAGTATGTGAGGTAACGGGAAGATAGGTAGAGGACCTGTCAGACAGTTTCCCTAAAGCAAAAATCAGATCCATATTCTGTAGACACAGAGGACTTTCAGTAAAGGAGTTGGAGATTTCTGCTTTTCACCTCAGAAGCACAGCTTTCCCTACATAATCTCATAATAATAATATTTCAGGATCTAATCCGGGTTGGTCACCAGGACCAGAGATTTAGTCTTCCAAGCTGTCGGGATAGTGCCAGAGCTCATCCTCAGGGAACTTCTCTCTCACCAGAATGTGTGATGAGCTCCAGCACAAGTCTGAAAACTTGGAAGACTAAACCTCCGGTCTTGGTGACATTTTTCTGGGACACATATATTTGTCTTCATAATCAATATTGCATTAAATTATCAGTTTCCCGACATGATTAATTTCTTGGCATTTCACTAGGACTACTTTATTTATATTGAACCATTTGGAACTCTCAGCATATTTCTGTTCAGTACTTTTAGTGACCTTTTTTTGGCAGTGAAACCTCTTTTCAATTATTCTTATAGACAAGCCTAGTAAATATAGAATTACATAATCGAAAAGACACTGTAAATTAATTGTGCATTACATGTGTTTAACCTATCCCCATAGACTAGAATCTTTGTGATCATTTGTTGCTTAAACTAAGAGAGTGTTAGTGACAGTGGCAGTGAGGCAGCATGCTTTTCTGAGAGACTACTCCATATTGGGTGTTGCCACCAAGAAGACTAGTCTTGACAGTTAGGCTATGACCCAAACTCATCATTAGGATTTACAAGCAAGATCTCTCTTTTTCCTATTTCAAATATCAGGTCAGTACTTTACAACCGTCTTCAGTGGTACAACATAAAATTGATTTATAAGTTGAATAAATAAGTATCACCTAAATCAGGGGTAGTCAACCTTGGCTCTTTTATGACTCGTGGACTTCAACTCCCAGAATTCCTGAGCCAGCTGTGAAGTCCACGAGTCATAAAAGAGCCAAGGTTGACTACCCCTGGCCTAAATTGTTACAAGTGCTTGTAGAGTGGAATTCAGTAGGTTCATAAGTAGGAATCCATAGGTCGGTAAGTAATTGCATATTGAAGTTCAGGTAATAGAGAAATCAGAAATGAGTTTTTGGGAAAATATACATTCTGAAGAAATGTATAAATAAATGTATAAATATAAATATGATTCAGGGAAAGCATTATTCAGCTAGGTGACAATAATGAGTGTAGGAAATGAGACTGGAATGGTAGGAAATGAGAAGGAAAGGTACAAAAAAACTGAGTTAAGTTTGAATTAGAATAGCAACTGTTGAGTATCTGCTTAGAAAAATGTCTGTTTTTTAACACTAGGTTTGTGAGTCTACTCATGCAGATACATGACAAAGAAATAATATAAATCTGAAATGCATGCTTGATTTGTTTGCTCCAGATGAAATGCTGAGAGAATTAGTGAAGGATAGAAAGGGGATGAGAGATGATGAATACCAGTCTTCCTACAGGTCTTAACTGAATACTCAACATTGGGGTTTTGAAATTGATTGACACAAGTATTCATCACCCAAAGCATATTTGCTAGTGTTCAGGTGTCGATCCTCAATATTATAGGGGAAGTACTTATCTGATTTCAATGTATGTGGTGATATAAATGAATTCAAATATTTGGGGTTCCCCCCCCTTTCATATGAGTTTTAAAGAATTATCACTGGTAGCAACTCAAAATATAGAGCTACTATTGCAGTGGTTTATAACTTTGTAAAAATCAGATTCATTCAGATGAATATGATTATAGACAAGCAACAAGCCAGGCTTCTTAATTGTAAGAGCACTGTAAGACATTTAGACAAATGCACTTTCATATTTCATTTATTTATTTTATTTATTGACTGTGGGCCACTTTAATCACAAAGTGATTTTTGGTAGTTTACAGAGTATGTAGTTTACAAAACATCAGGTAAATAACATCAAATAAATAAAACCAAACAAACACTCACTTAAATAATACAATGGCCCACACGGGGGCAGGGGGGATAATAATACAGGTAGTCCTTGACTTACAACCATTTGTTTAGCATCTATTTGACGTTATAATGGTACTGGAAAAAAGTGAGTTATGACTGGTCCTTGCACTTACTACCATTGCACCATCCCCATGGTCACATGATCAAAATTTGGGCACTTGGCAAATGGCATGTGCCATTTACAATGGTTGCAATGTTCTGGGGTCATGTGATCATTGTTTGTGACTCTACCCAAAATTAAAGGATTACAAGGTCTAAAAAGGGAGTTATGGAAGCTCTAAAACAGGGGTGTCAAACTGCCGGCCCGCATGCCAGATGCGTCATGCGGAAGCCGCGCCTACCCACCCCATTGCCAGCAATGGGAAAACAGTCCCGATATGTTGCATGACTTCACATGACGTCACAAGTTTGACATGTCTGCTCTAAAAGGTCAGGACCAGATGATTCTCAGGGCATGTAGTTGCATAAGGGCACATGCTATTAGTGAGAAGGTCCCACAAAGTGATAGTGCTTTGCAGCTGTGACATAGTCAAGCAGAAGTCATAAAGACAGTTTATCCCATAGATAACTGGAATTGTTTTTGAGTGTACAGAATTCTAGAAGGCTGATATGTAGCAATGGAAATAGAAAATATTATTTCACATTAGAAATATAAAAATAATAAATAAATTAAAAAAGAAAAAGAAAACAAAAACTTTAAAGGACAGATTTGATGGATCACTGGATCTTTTTCTGTTGTCAGTTTTCTGTGTGTTCTATGCGATGTAGCTTATTTATATTTTAAGTTCTTTTTTATTTTCTTCTCCATAGTTTCATATTTAAGTTCACATGATGTTCTAATGAGTTTGATTATACAGACCTGAGGTAGGTACACGTTCTGAGCTTTCAGATGGTTATTCTTGACATATAGAATATTAATTATGAATTGGGATCTGTCTATGTAAAAATGGATTGGCTCACATAGTCAATCTGTTACTGTTCATCTGGCTGCATGAGATCAACTTGAAACAAAACAATAATTTTAAATGTTTTTTGTCATATTTCTAGCAGCACCAACATGGAATGTGAAATGTTAGGTTTTGATTTCATATGTGTTTAATGACTTATTGTGGAAACAATTTAATTGGACTTTCTTTCCCCCCCTTTTTGTTATTCAGAGTCTTTGTATGTTCACACCACCAAGAGTGAAGGATGGACAACCGGTACTTGTTCCTGTAGGACCAGTTAAATATGGCACTACAATATCTGCTCATGTAGCCAAAACTAGGAAAACACTATTAATAGAAGATATTTTGGGGGTAAATGATTATCTTCCTTAAAAATAATATTGGACAAACCATTAAAGAGTAGTTTTAGTTGAGTAGAAAAAGTCAGATGGAGTGAAGTTCCTGAGTATTGATGGAAAGGAACTTCTGAAGGGGAATGTTGGGAATGGGATGAGAAGCACGTCTACTGAGAAGGTTCTAAATATGTCTTCAGAAAATCAAGGACTTCAAGTTAGAGTTATTAATTTCTGGCTAAAATAGATGACTAAATCCAGAAGGTTTTATAGCTTATTCACTAGGATTGAAATTTTTAACTATGTTTGTCTAGTGATGAGAAAAACAAATAAATAACATCAGAGCTATGTTGGTGACTTCACTGCAGTCCATCTGTTTTGCTGCAGGTATTATGAGGCAGCAGTGCTGATGTTTGCCATTTCACAACTCTTTTCCACTCCAGTTGAGATTGTTCTTGCATTTAGATGCAAATAGACAGTCATTAGATTGAACCCAATGTGGTGCCTGGGTGTCTTCTAGATGTCTTATCTTCTTTTATTTAATTACTATAATATATGTATATGTATATGTATATGTATATGTGTAAAGGGTCTGAATACTTATGCCAATGTGATATTTCAGTTTTTTCTTTTTAATAAAGTGAAAAGTCTTCAAGGAAAAACAAAGTCCAGTTGCCTTTTGATAAAAGCTTCTTTGGCACTTACCTTTCTAGGATGAACGGTTTCCCAAAGGAACTGGGCTGGAATCAGGGACTGGTATCAAGTCTGTACTTTGTTTGCCAATTGTTACCGTGCTTGGAGATCTAATTGGTATCCTGGAGCTTTATCGAAAATGGGGTAATGAAACTTTCCATCTCAGTCATCAAGAGGTAAATCCTAAATGTAGTAGTGAGCATATTCATATATAATTCTATGCAGCTAGCATGTAGTTCTGTGGTTGGAAATTATATTGAGGATATTCTATTGCTAAATGACATTACCAAGACACATCAGATCAGGAGTAAAGTTTTATACAGTGACATCATGCCTAAGACAATAAGTAGAACATCCTTCATTTGTCCATTAGTGCTTTTTGCACAATCATTCTTCTTGGCTTTAGCAGTTGTGACAGTGTTTCAATCAGGAGAAAAAGTTTTCTTGATGGCCAAGCCAAAGTTATTAAATAGAAGCAAAGGGTCAGATAATGTCACATGCTGACTTGAACCACCACCAGTTGAGATCCAGTTGTCTCCTTGCCCCAAATAATACCCTAACATGTGGCAGAATCTGTCACAGAACAGTGAGTGTTACCATTGTTCAGTTTGGTTATATTTCTTCCTCTGGGCAGATTTTATCAATTTTATCAACCTTGCTTCCTCTTTAGATGCCCATTTCACTGTCAGGTCTATGTTTAATACATGAAAAAACCAGAGGAAACCTCTTATGCTCAGTGCAAAGATTTTGGGACTGTGTGTTCTGTACAGGATGACTCTGGCAGCCCCATGGAGTAGAAAAACTCAATATTCCATAAGGGAATTGTAGTGTTAAATTTGGTACACTTCTAGATTCAGTCTGAAGAAGGAGGCAGTGTATGTAGGCTCTCCATGGACACTAATATGATTAAGTACTGCTATCTTTCCACAAAGAGACCATGAGATGGGAGTGGCTATTATCTTGTATTAAATGAGCAACTAAATAAAAGCATTTCATTTACATTTCCAACCCTACTACAGGCATTGCCTGTTTTGAATCTGGAACACTTTTGTTATAGGTAGAAGAGCATAAGAAATTTTCCAAAAATAATAGTGGCGAATATCTATAGCTTGGGTGAAGGATGGGGGCGGGGGGGGGGAAGGTTCATTCTCTGAGCTTGTGGTTTGGTTTCTGAACATTTCATTACCAGGCTAGGTAACATCTTCAGCAGAGATATAAGTAGAAGAACACTGATACTGACATCCCCTAAACTCTGCTGAAGATGTTACCTAGCCTGGTAACTAAATGTTCAGAAACCAACCCACAAGCTCAGAGAACGAACCTTCACCCTCATTTTCAGAAGGGTTGTAAGGCAGGAGTGGGCAACTGTGGTCCCTTTATGACCTGTGGACTTCAACTCCCAGAATTCCTGAGCCAGCCATAGTTGTCTATCCCTGTTGTAAGGCATATTTCAGACATGATGATTGCCAAAGGTTTTGCACACTTCTATAATCTTCTACATAATGATATTTTAACATTATTGTTTTAATTCACGTTCTTATTTTAATTTTCTGCCAGATAACTTGAGTAGTGTATTTATCAAATAGATAAATATAGTAATATTTAATGGAAAAATTAATAACATAGTTAATGTAACCCAGTTACCTAGAAGTCATTTAAACTGATAAACTTTTTTTACTAGATGCATACCCTTCATTATTGCTTATATAACCCAAATATGGGTAAATGTTAGTAGACTTTTCAAAACACAAAGTTTTGATGTCTTCCAAGTAACCCAAAGTTTGTGTTTTTTTCAGGTTGCTGTAGCAAACCTTGCCTGGGTCTCAGTAGCAATGCATCAAATAGAGGTAAGTCTCTGGATTAAATGTTAGTTTTCCTAGGTGGAATAACTTAATTGTAAGGATAGTTTCTTCTGTAATATTCGGATATTGCAAAAAATGGACAGTAGGCTGAAGGCCTTTTTTAAAAATCATTTCTGTATTTCAAATGGCTTTACTAATTATTCCTTTTAATTTGAGATCAGTCCAGATCAGGTTTGCATTTTGAGCTAAGACTCCACTTTTCTGAAAAGGAATAGTTTTCAGGACAGTGCTGTTTTTCAAATGTATGATTAGAGTTATTAGCATAAATATTTCCACAATTAATTCCTCAAACTGAAGTCCCTTGTATGTGAGGCTTGAATTTTATATACGTATTTCCTTGCTTTATTTCTTCTTAGCAAATCCTGGACAGGTAATAGCTATGTTTGTAGATTCATTCTGATTCTGTTCTTCTGCTTAAATAAGCAATAGTCTTCCCAACATTTGCACCAGGTATCCAAGGGTTTGGCCAAACAGACTGAACTGAATGACTTCCTGCTTGATGTATCAAAGTAAGTGACATAAAAACAGTCATATTATGACTGTTTTTAAAATGATTAATATAGATATATTTATTATGATTTATTATTCATTGCTCTGGAAGTTGGTTTAAGGGTATTCGCTGTGCAGTTTCAGACAATACGAATAATAAGAGATTATTTACAGGTAGTCCTCATTTAGTGACTGCCTCAAATAGCAACTGTTCACAGTTATGATGATGTTGAAAAAGCAACTTTGCAACCAATCCTCGCATTTCCAAACTTGGCAGGTCTGTAAAGCAAAGGAAAGCTGAAAGACGGCTATAAACACACTCATGGTTTCACATCACTTTGATTAATGACCAAGTTGCTAATCTTAATTGTGGTCACTAAATGAGAACTACTTGTATACTCATAAACAGGAACAGGTTCATATGATCATTATTTTATAATAGCCAGTATTATTAAATCAGTGTTACATGTTGTTATATTTATATCCTGCTTTCCACTAAAATAATATGCTATAATACACTCTATAATAAACCAAAATCATGGCATCCGGCCCTCTCAATTCCTGGCAAATAGATGGGGAAGAAATGGAGGTAGTGTCAGATTTTATTTTCTTAGCTCCAAGATCACCTCAGATGGGTACTGCAGCCAAGAAATTAAAAGATGCTTGCTCCTGGGGAGGAAACCTATGGCAAATCTAGACAGCATACTAAAAAGCATAGACATCACCCTGCTAACAAAAGTGCGTATAGTCAAGGCCATGGTTTTCCCAGTTGCAATGTATGGATGTGAAAGTTGGACCATAAGAAAGGCTGAGCGACAAAGAATTGAGGCCTTTGAACTATGGTGCTGGAGAAGACTCCTGCGAATCCCTTGGACTGCAAGGCATTCAAACCGGTCAGTCCTAGAAGAGATCAACCCCTACTGCTCTTTAGAAGGCCAGATCCTGAAGTTGAAACTCAAGTACTTTGGCCTAATGAGAAGGAAGGACTCATTGGAGAAGGGCCTAATGCTGGGAAAGATTGAGGGCAATAGAAGAAGGGGACGACAGAGAATGAGGTGGCTGGATGGAGTCACTGAAGTAGTAGGCGTGAACTTAAATGGACTCCAGAAGATGGTAGAGGACAGGAAGACCTGGAGGAATGTTGTCCATGGGGTCACGATGGGTCGGACATGACTTCGCAATTAACAACAACAACATAATAAAGCTGCAACCTTGACACAGGTCTGGGAGGAGAGGGGACAGGACAGGATGGGAGTAGAGCAGACATGTCAAACTTGCGATGTCACGTTGCATCACGCAATGTATCTGAGCGGTTTTGCCATTGCCGGCAATGGGGTGGGCGCGGCTTCGGATGAGACGTCAAGCCCGCGGGCCGGCAGTTTGACACCCCTGGAGTAGAGGGTTAGGGTGCAACATGATACCACATTTCTGTTTGGAGCTCTGCAGCTACCATTACATTGCAAAATGCAGCAGCCAAAAGAAAGGAGGTGCTTTTTCTTCAGAGGGAATGGGTAGCCCACATAAGAACCAAGTATAAAGTCCCAGCAAGCCAAAGCACAACCTGAAAAGCTGCAAGTGCTCTACAAGTGGGCCATTAACAGAGGGGGGGGGGGAAATAGACGAAATTGCAGAGAGAGATAAAAAGACCGAACAGGTTTTGTAAGAAGGAAACTTGGATGCATAGCCAATTGCACAGTCAATACTATAGGGAATAGCAATAGTTGCTGTAATAGTGTAATGTAGAAGAAATATTGTAATATTAATTGTAAATAGGATAGGATAGGGATTATAGGAAGTGGCCCATGCACGCACATGTGTGTGCACACACATGGATACAGAAATCTTACTGAACATCACTTTTATAGAATACGATTGTTTTGCAAAATAAAAATCCCCCCCCTCCTCTGCTGCTTATAGGAAGATATAAAGAAACCACTTGATCCAGGGTCCAATGGATTCTGTCCGGTGGTGGGATTCAAATATGTGAACAACCGGTTCTCTGTGTGGATGCCACTTCCGGAAGTCCATTCTGGGCCTGGGCAACAAAAAATTAGCTACCGGTTCTGCCAAACTGGTGCTAAGTGGCTGAATCCCACCACTGTTTGTGTCTCTTTTGAGTCTGGGTTAATCTAATTTGATACAGTTTTAAAAAAAACCCGTGACACAGACACCCTTCCAAACCAGGTATTCTAGATTCAAGATTAAATCCAAAGAGTTGGAGAAAGTTTAGGCATTAAATTTTGTTCCTTAATCTGTATTTGGATTGACAGATCTACATTTGTTTTATTTAGGATTTTTTTTCCTGCATCCAGTTATTAATGATATCAGATACTGATTTAAAACCTGACCAACTTCCTTGAATGGGAAATAAATTGATAATTTAGGGACGGTCTCTCCTGAGCCTCTTGTTCTGTCAACCATGCAGCTGTGGACTGTGCTCCCTCTTATCTGATTGTTCCCTAGGCAGCATCTCTTTCCCAGTCTCCCAAGGTCATTCCCACAAGCCATTACAGCAAGCCACTGGATCACCCGGATAACTTCTGTAAGGAATATTGTAGGCATCTGGTGAAAAAATTACAGTCAAACTTGAACAAGTGCTGTCAAGGTGATGGAACTTTAATCAGTTCCTTGGGAGAAATTCAAAATTCCCACCCTCATAAGGTTTAGTACTTGCCTTTGGTGTACCAATCTTATAGATCCTAAACTAGTATACGATTCATAACTCCTTTCATTGTTAGAGATAACCTTTGGAGCCCAATACCTATAAAATTAGATCAGTAAGAAAACTTATAATATAAGGTTTCTTAAATAGATTAAAAATATCTTTTAAATTGGTAAATTTAAAACAATATAGATCATTAAAATTTTTTGAAAAGAATTTCATTACAATAAAAAAAATGTTTTTTTTCCCTTTTACAGAACCTACTTTGATAACATAGTTGCAATAGATTCTCTACTTGAAAATATAATGGTAAGGTAACTTTTACTTAAATTTCAGTATTATTCAGACCACAGAATCTTTGAAATGTGGTATGCAGAAGTTATGTTACTGTTACTTCTGAAGTTATGTTACTGTTACTTCTCTCTCTTCCATACAGCAATTACGCTTTCAAAATTTTAAGTTTTAACAAACAATATAAAACATATACATGTTTTGCAGAATGCAGTGGTGTGCACAGCTGTGTGAGCCCCTAGGGTGGCATACATAACACCACTATTGTGTGAGCTGGATTGGTTACCCGTTGTGTTGATTGTTACCTTTAAACACCATATATGTCCAGGGTATTTGAGAAACTTCTCACCCCAATGGAATTAGCCCATCCCACTTGCACTAGTGGAATAGATCTGCTATGGACCACAGCTGCTAAGTAATTCTAGTGGGCAAGGTCAAGGAGAAGAGTCTTTAATAATAAAAATATTTTTAAAAAATAGAACCAAGAGGATGGGTGGCATGGGGTTGAAGTCTTCTTCTTTCTCCATTAACCACTTCCAGCAAAGACTGCCTCCATTGGGGATCTTTTGGAAGGTCAGGAAGGTGGGTGATAGAATGTTCCACAGAGCAAGGGTCACAGTGGAAAAGAGTCTTCTCCTTGATCCCACCAAGTGAAATTCCTTAACAGATTGGGTTATATGCAACAAGCTCCTTCTGCTGGAACAAGTAGGGTGGCCTAATCCCATTGGGGTGAAATGGCCCCTCAGATACCCTGGATTCCTGGTCTAAAAGGTTTTAAAAGTAATGACCAACACCTTGAATTGGACATGGAAGCAGACTGGTAACCAATTCAGCATGCACAATCGTGGTGTTATATGTACCACTCTAGGGTCCTCCAGAATTGTCCCTGCCATTGCATTCTGCACCAACTGTGGGTTCCGAATACTCTTAAAGGGTATAGAGCCCATTGCAGTAATCCAATTGAGAGATGACCAGGACATGATTGTGTGCAAGGCCTCCTGATCCAGTTAAGGAACAACTGATGCACAACATGAATTACACTAAGGTCCTCCTAAGCCATGACTGTCACATGCTCTTTGAGCAAGAGTCATGAACTTAAGAGAACCCCCAGATTGCGCAACAGGTCTATCTGGGTAGTGCAACCCCATCCAGAATTAAAAATGATAAACAACTAGATCCTGATGTTCAGTGCACTCATAACCACTACATCTTACCAAGGTTCAGCTGAAGCCTGTTATCTCTTATCCAGACCCCAATAGCTGCCAGACACTGCGAAAGTGCAATTCTCTGCTGCATTTCTATGTAAATTGGGGTTTGGTGATCAGTATTGAGTTCTAGAATATTTGCTAAACCAGTGACTATTTTGAGAACCATTTGAAAGATTAACTCCCAGTAGTAATACAATCAGAGTCTTAAAATTTCACTGTTTTATTTTCATGTATTAATGCTGGGTTTTTACATGTATGTCCTTTGCAAGCTGTTTTGGATATTTATAATAAAAATTTGAAAATGTTTTAAATAAATCAAGGTGGGAAGAGCAGCTAGGTAATTTTTAACAATGAGTTTATGGATCTGATATCTAACTTTTGATATAATGTTACATTGAAAAAATAATGACAGTGCTATAAATAATGGTAGAGATAGTGATAGAAGTAAAGTCTTCATCCTGGTTCATCCAAGCCGGGAATAAATAAGCAAACATGGCGACTGCTTTGGGAAGAAGGTTACAGTTTATTGAAGCAGAAAGATGGTCCTTGCAAGAAGGAGCAGAGGAGAAGAAAAAGATTGAGCACATGGGCAGTAGGTTTTTATACCCTCTCTAGCCCTGTTTGGAATAGTTTCCTGTTCCTGTGGCATGAACTTTGAGGATATTTCTGAGTGTTTTTCTAGGCCTTGATATCTGTGGTTTAATCCTATTATCATATCCTGCTTCCCAGGTGATGGGGCTAATGACTCCTAGAGTTTGGGTGGGGCATGCAGATTTTCTCTTTGTCTTCTTGA